GTTTTGAGTGTGTGGGTACTTTCCCGGGTATGGATCTTGGAGGTACGAGTGTGCTCACCGACGAGCAGCTCATGGATGGCTATGATGACACCCCACATCAAGATTTTTTCCCCGTATTTATCCCAGAGAGTGACGCTGCGAATGTGGCTGGTGTTTTGGATAGCATTGACGGAGGTTCTGATTTTGACTTGGGTGCGGCCGCGCTTGGCCCTGGTGCATCCCCGTTCACTCTTGGATCGACCGAAAAGTCCGTTGACATCAACCGCTTCCACCGCTCCCTTGCCCACGCTTGCGAGCCTCTTTTGAGAGAAACTGCCCAGCAGAGAGGCATCGTGCTCACCGGCAAGCTGGAACCGTGTACGGACTGCATGAAGGCGAAGGGCAGGCGAGCGTCGGTGCCGCGGGGGCCGGGAGCGCGGGCGTCCAAGCCTCTCGGGCGTGTTCACCTGGACCTGTGTGGACCGCTGGTGCCTTCCCTGGGCGGCAACCTCTACCTGTTCGTCGCCGTGGACAGCGCCTCGCGGTGGAACAAGGTCTACGGTCTCCGGCGGAAGTCCGACGCGCTGGCGGCAACGAAAAGGCTGCTGGCGGATGTGGGGCGGTACGACCTCGGACGCATCGAGTGTTTCCGCGTCGACAACGGCACCGAGTGGACCCGCGGCGATTTCCGGCGCTTCTGCGACGACAACGGCATCGGCGTCGAGTTCACCCCGCCTGGCGTCCCGCAGTACAACGGCGTCGTCGAGAGCGCCATCTGGCGCATCATGAAGGCCGGCATGGCCGCCCGCCGCAGCGCTGGCCGTGTGTTCGACGTCGACTTCGCCTCCATCCCCGGCCTCGACGAGCGCGGTGACCGTCTTTGGATGGAATCGGCGAAGTGGGCCGCCGACGCTCTCAACCAGTCGGCGACCAAGGCAAACCCCGGGCGGCGCAAGAACAACTACTGCTGTATTGTCAATGATTTGGGATAGCAGAAGACGTTGGCATGTATGTTGTCTTGCTTGATTGTCCTTCTAAGAAAAAGGCACCTTCGCGTTACGTTGTCCGCAGAGGATGGGGGACCGTGGTGCGTACTAAATACTTATTGCAGCTGTAGACTTCAGCCGTCGGACAAGGGTATAGTCTACTGAATAAACCGTGTGGATGAAGGAGGGAGCATTTGGGCATTCTACCGACAAAGGCACGCCGAGTGCTGTGTGACACTCGACACTACCCCCCACACTCGTGATGCCCACCACTGCCGCTGTACGTACCGCTGCTGCCGTGTTTGCGTCATCATGAACAACCGCTGCTGCTGTCAAGCTGTCGAGCCCCATTTCAAACGCAACCGCAACAGCAAGTGGTTGCACACAGACCAGCGCAGAAAAAAAACTGGGCCCTGAAAGACATCAACATGAAGGAGCCGTCCTAGAGAATAAACTACAGCAGTATTAGCCTGTCATGCTTGAAGTCGTTCTTCTACCGCGTGCGAGCGCGTCAAGCGCGGGATGTACTGGGCTTGCCCACTCGCCTTCGTGGGGTACTGCTCCCCACTCAATCCCATGCCCACGTGGGTATCAAACGAGGCAGCGGATTGTTGGTGAAAAACTGGGCTGTTAGACTCGCGTATCTTGCACCGCCACCAGGATTACTACACGACCACTGCTGTTGTGTCCCTGTGCACGCACCTCAACGCCGTTCGCGTGCGGCGCGAGCTCCACGACGTGGCAGCGACGGGCCTACCCCTCCCGCCGCTCCTTGCGCAAACTTCCCGCGTGGGGGCAGCAGCAGCCCTGCTGCGCCCAACAGCGGTAGCCGAAGCTGCTGACGCTGCCGACTTCTGCTGCAAGCTGAAGGCAAAGCCTTGCACATCCGCTACTTTGTTGGCGAGAAGGGCCATCGCTCCCGCCGCGGCAACCAGCCCGCAGCGCCGATGGCGAAGGTCCATGGTCACGCAGCGTGGGTAACGTCCAGGACACGTGACGAGGGGGTGTGTACGTGTCGAGTCCGCCCTACTGCTGTGCTGTATTTTGCATCTCATATGCTCGTCTCTTGGCGTCTTGGTCAGACACGATATTCTCCGTGCCCCCTAAAGAAAGAGGAGGTGGGGATAAGGGGGGGAGGGGGGCAACGCAGAGAACAAAACGCCAAAATACTTTCAACCAAACCGATTCATTTTGCGTTGTCCCCGTTCTTGCGAAACACCCAACACACACGATACCAGTAGTATCACACGCGAACAACTGCCACGCGGTGCTTCCTGCTCCGTGCGAAGACAACGGAGGAGGGGGAAAGGCGAGCTGCTACCCCATCCACCACGCGTCATTTCCGGTATACCCGCCACGACGGGGCGGTCGGTGTGTTCTCAACTCTCCCACGAGATCGGCCCAATGCAACGGGGGTCGTGCGCGTGTTCGCCCACGAAAACAACGACGGAGTGAGGTGTCCGCGTTTGAGGGGGGAGGAGAACAAGGAGAGGCATCGTGCGTGGGCCGGCGCACCCTAGCAGATTTACGAGGAAAGAGAGAAACAAATCTCGTGGGCAAGGAGGACTGCGGGTGGTGGCGCGTTCAAACAACGCCAACAGCGGTGAGGGACCAAAAGGGGCCGTGCTGTGCTCCTTTAGGCTCACCTGGCGTTTATTTCTTGGCGGGAGACAAGGGAGGCGGCAGCTAGCAAGCAAAGCTACCGCTCGCGGTTGGATCTACCACGCTAGAGATAAACGGGCCAGGTACGATGGTGTAGGCGTGTGCTTGTCTACGCTCTGCCGTGGCTTACACGCAACTTTCATTTATCTGTGCGGCGAGCGAAAAGTACGCATTTTCGGGGCACAGTTTCTCCTTATCGTTCATGACATGTTGTCGGTTTTCAGAAGGGATGGGCGATGGGGGCCCCGTTGCCAACAATGGTTGACTATAATTCTACGTGTACATGTACTTATGTATGCAAATGAACGAAATGACCAAGTCTGATTGAGCACACGTATTTGTGCATAGAGGGCGCAGGGTGCCTGTTGAATGGAGCTCCTCTCAGATGTATGTGTATGTACAGCGCGCGAGAGAATTTGATTTGCTCATACAGTTTTTTTCTGTCATTCCCATCGAGCCAGAAGGGCTAGTTCGGGTACAGCAGGTGGCAGAACCCTATGCAATGGTAGGGGAGAGATACATATGAGGTGATACTGCTGTACCCACAAACTTGACAGCGACGGCGGACAATTCCCGAAGGCACAGACGACGCGTGAATCCTGGTCGAGACTTACTACTCGCGAGCGCCGACAGGGGAAACACTTCAAAAATATACAGAGCAGCACACATATCTACTCCTATATACGAATTATATTGATTATAGATGTATCTACATGCAGTCTCAATTGCGTTGCTTGTCATCGCCATGCACAGACAGCAGCAGCTGCGCTCTGTACCCTGCGAACGACCCAGAGGAACTCTGATGTTTCTCAACCCCATTTACTACTAACCGATGCGTTTCTACGTAGTCTCCATATATTTTGTTCCTTACCCGCCCCTCCCCGCCACCGCTGTCCCCCGTGTTCTTGCGCACTGATTGGCTCGCCCGAACAGCCGGAGCACCCAAGAGCCCCATAAAAAAAGTGGGGTGTGTGTGTTTGTGACTGCTCTACGCGGCGGTGACTGTAAGAAGACATGGCGTCCATCGTGAAGTTTAAGTTCAAGTCGGCGCGGGAGTATGACTCGGTGTCGTTCCCGGGCACCGGCATCAAGCTGCTGGACCTCAAGAGGGCCATCGTGGAACAGAAGAAGCTGCACCAGGGGATGGAGTTCGACCTTAACATCGTCAACGACAAAACAAGAGAAGGTGCATAACTGGGTTGGGTTGGGCGAGTGGGGGGGGGGGGGGGGGGGGGGGGGGGGGGNGGGGGGGGGGGGGGGGGGGGGGGGGGGGGGGGGAGGAGGAGGGGGGGGTGAAATTTATGTTTTGTTTTGTTTTTCTGGTGGAAAAGGGATGTTCACGGGCCGTTGACTTGGTGTGGTGTTGCGAACGATATGACAAAGGTGGGGGGTTCGACGGAGAGCGAGATGAGGTGGGGGGTTAGAGACGCTTTCGGGGTGTACCGTTCGGCACGAGCATCGTTTTTTTTTTTTCTACGTGCACACGACGAGGGGCGACAAGTTTTGCTGTCATCGTCAGCGACAAGAACTAAGAGGGCGCCTAGTAGTGGATTTCAGGCTTATGTACTTTGTTCGCGTGTCGAGAGGCATGGCGGTGCCCGGGGGATGTGGTGTTAGGTTTACAGGTGTACAGGTGTAATCGTATGCCGTACAGCAGTCGGTAGACCATCGAGTCCGCCCCCTACAAGGCCGGGATGGAGCGATATGCCGGGTTTTCGCCGGCCCAGGGGAGTTGCGGAGGGGGTGTTGAGAAGTGTTGACCTCGGGTGTTTGCGGGCTAGAACGTGACTCGACACATCAGGCTTGTACCATCGGCAACAACTAGGCGGCGAGTGATGCGTTTCGCGCAGGATACCACAGCTGCGGCGAAAAATACACACAACACGTCGTGGTTATCCTGGAGCGAGAAACTTGTGTCTTGGCGTTGGTTTCGATGGCTTTTGACGTGGTGTGATGTAAGTGGTGTTGGGTGCGTGTTTCTGTGGTTTAAACCGCGACATGCAGCTGTTATCGTGTGATGCGTTGTGGTCGTTTCAGTGACGACGCTACTGAAAAGAGTATGTAGAGCCTGGCGCTCTCGTCCGGCTGCAGCCCGTTGTTCAGAGTGGGCGCCGTCCACGGCTCCCGATGTGCCCGTCACGTCTTGGCGGCTTTTTCTGGGCACACCATGCAAGCGATCTTGACGGGAGAGTTGCTGTCGGTCGAGCTACCCATCACCACCATGAGTATGTTTCGGTAGATACGACTCTCATCGTTCCGCACATTGGAATATGGCGGTGAACCGAAAAAGTTCTTGGTGGGGATCTCACATCAACCTATTCTGACTGCTTCCCTCGTGTCTCCCTTCTCCGTGGTTCCGCCCCCCCCCCCTCCCTCTTCGTCACCGCTGCACATCTGGCGCGCGCCCACTACGGAATGGGGGGTCCAACTTTCGACTTGTGTCAAACAATTTCACAAAAAAAAAAAAAGAGTACAAAGAAGACAACGTGGTCGTGACGAAGAATACCTCCGTGACAGTGAAGAGAGTGCCTGCGCACAAGTCGGGTGGTCTGCTGTCCAAGATCAAGGCCCTCGACGCCGCCGCCGCTCTACGCGCTACTGCTACTGCTACCACCACCACCTCTACCAAGTATGGTTCATTGCTCGACGCTAAACGGTCATGTCAGTATCGCTTGCGTAATCTTGACAGCCTTACTTGTTGCACTTTTCGTCCTTTTTTTATAACGTGTTCATGTTCGTCGGGTCGTTGTCGTTTTGTAGGAGTGCTGAGGGTTAGAGTCGTTGTTTTTGTGATTGTCGCTTTGATTGGTTGGAGCGTGTTGTGTCGTTGTTGCGGTTCTATCCTGAGCGCTATATTTCCAAAATACACAAAGGCGATCAGAGTGGAGGGGCGTGTACGCGTAAATCAGTGACAGAAATATTCGGCGGTTTTTAAACCTCAACATCGCCCAAAGCCAGCCTTCCGTGCGGGGGACCAACAACAGAAAAATGTTGGAGGTCGAGACTACTGTGTGCTGCACGAATACCGGCGGGTGTTTTGTGTATTCGATCCGCATATGCCATATGTATCCGCAAGTTTAGCGGCGATACACACAGTTAACGCAATATTTCATAGTTTGTCCAGGGCCACATGGGAGAAAGAGAGGACGGCTCGCTCCGCAAAACGATTCCCCTGTTGCCGGAACACAGTTTTTTATTTTATTCATCACGCACGCATAGGTAATGACGTGGATATCAAGCAACAGACGCCCACCACGAAGGCAAGCGTTGCGATGAAGACGGTGTTGTTTGTTTTGGTCGCCAGGCAGTTCTTGCAAGCCCTGAACCGGTGTTGTCTGGGGTGTTGTTCTGCCTCTGATTATTTTTTGACGTGCTCGGTCGACGAGCGTGATCGATCGGTGTTGGTTCGTTGAAAAGTGTTTCTTCTCGTGTCCGTGCCGTACCTTTTTCGGGTCAGAGAGGAAGGTTTTGGTGTACCCTCCTGGGGTGCCTTGGTGGTGCCAGGTGATGAAGGGTGGGGGGACTCTTCCCACGTTGGTAATGTGGACAGTTGTATAGCGGACCCCATGTTTACCCTCCCGTCTGTTGCTCTTGGTTGTTTGCGTTCCCCGCTGCCGACATGGATAATCGCGAGCATTCCGTTTTGGGGGTGCGGGAGGGATTGGGAGCCTGCTGGTGGCTGTGTGTCGCGCGGGCTGGTTGCCCGTTCCGTTGCGATTCCTCTCTCTCGGCCTGTCTTGTTTTGTCCTTCGGGGTTGCAAACGTGATGGTCGTTTCCGATCTCACCCACCGCCCACTTGGGTAGAGACGCGAGTCTGGAGGCAATTCGCTGGGCGCCGTTACTGTGTCCAGTGTCGGTCTATCTGGGTGACCAACCGTTGTCGGCGGGCCCTTAGTTCCTTCGAACACGCGTCTGTTAGGCTTATTGCTGCTGTTGGCTTTTCGGCACCACATTGGCATGCACGGGTAGTGGCGGAATCGGGGGTGCGTTGCAAATGATTCGTCTCTGAGTTGAGAGTAAAGTCAATGCATTCCAGGGCGTGGATGGACACTACCTCAAACTCCTTTTTTTTTCCGTCGCCTTAGCAACCGAGTCGCATGCCAAGGCATTGGCCGGGTGGGGGGGGGCAACCTGCGTTGCCTCAAGTCGATATCGTTTGGATTTTGGCCCTGGATATTTTTGCATGGGGACCATATTTCCACGCGAGACAGGCCGCGAGTGTTTCGTCTGACAGTGCTCGGAGAACCACGACGCCACGAGAGAAGGAAAAGAAGGAAAACGCACCGAGCTACATATCTAGCTTGTCGTGTCCGCGCCGGCGTGGGTGGGACACAGACACGAGGTTGCGTCATCACTAAGTCACCTTGCGTCTAGTCGTGGGGCCCCTAGAGTTGTGGCGGAGCCCCTAGAATCTTGACGGAGCCTATTGAGGCTTGGATGCCCTCCCTAGAGTCGTGACGGTGCCCCCTGCGAGTCTTGGCGCGGCCTTATTCCATGCCGACAGCTCTTGCGGGCGCTTTCACGAGACTCTTCGAGTGCCCCGCGTTGAGTGTCAAGTGTGCGTGCTGTCGTGTGTTTTGTGTGTCGCCTGTGTGGTGCCTTTCTGGCGCACCCCCGTCCTCTTGCTGTTTGTCGTGGCTGGCGGTAAGGCACATGTGCTTTGCAGCTGAGGTGGTGCGTGGTTGGCGGATGTTGCCGTCTACAGCTGCCCAGACTTTGTGAGCGTTGGTGTGTACGGCTGCTGTAAGTTGCCGTGTTTCATGGTTCATACGCATTCCGTGCATGGCAACAAGTGTGTTTAGATACGTTTGACTTGTGTGTGTAAATACGTTTAATTTAACAAGATGTACATGCGTCCGTCCGTGTTTGTTCTGCTGAGTGCGAAGCGAGGACACGCCGCGTGTGTGTACCACCCAACCATTGCTGCCGCGCCTGCTGCTTGTGGTTACGGATCTTCTTGGACTCTTGAGTGCACGAACGTGGCCATTCCTCCCTCCACAAGCGGCGAAGCACTTCCACCGTAGCCGCCATGCCTTCGTCCGCTCTCGTCCCCACTCCCCGCCCACTCGACCGGGCCTTGTCTTGTGCGCCGCTAGCTGGGGCTTGTAATTTCTCGGTTCAATGAACAATGAGTCAAACAGCCCGTCGTAGCTTCGTTCCTGTGCGCTACGGACCATTCTTTCTTCCCGAAGGGTACCGTGGAAGAGGCACAGGAACATGCGCGCCTGGTACGGCAAGTTCCTGCTCTACCATCTACCGTCGCTGCCCTCTCTGGCGCGGGAAACAGTACTGTACCGTCCTTCCAACCCGCGCACCATACCGTACCGCACAGGGCCTTGTCCCCGCCACACCGTGTAAAACGCCCCCGTTGTAGCCGCGATGGTGAGTTTTCCATAGACGCTTTGCCCCGTCGAATGTGGCGCGCATGGGGGGCAATGCCTTTGTGGTTAGGCCCCTTCCACGCCTGACAGCTCGAAATATTGGGGGATGACTCCTCTACGTCTCAACTCGCACCTGTTGCCCGCGAGCAATGCCGGGTTGACCGGAAAGGTTGAGCGTCAGCGACGGTTTTGTCAAGCAGCAGCAAGTGTGCTTTCCTGCCAACCCCGTCTCCCCTACCCTTTGCTACATTCTCCGGCGTATCGAAGACACGGGAGATGAGCCACGAGTCCGTTCATCAACCTCGCGCCCCCCCCCCCCCT